CTGTCGGCAAGGGATCTTCTAAAAATATCATTATATCATCTGCGAACATTTCCATCTTGCAACCTTGACTTTTTATGTTTACTCCTTTAATCAATCAAGTAATCCATTTTAGTTAATGGATAGACCATGGGTCCTTCACATACAGAACAAACAAATAGGTACATATGAACCCAATTAGAAAATACCCAACATACGACGTAAACGAGCTCTGGCATAGTTAGAAGCCGAGTAAAATTCAATCCAATGTCCTCCCCAAACACAATACCGCCCACCACCCAAGTGAAGGATGTTCTCCATAAACACCATACTGTCCACCACCCAAATGAAGGATGTCCTCCATAAAGACCATACTGTCCACCACCCAAGGGAAAGATGTCCTCCATAAACACCATACTGTCCACTACCCAAGTGAAGGATGTCCTCCATAAACACCATACTGCCCACCACCCAAGTGAAGGCTGTCCTCCACAAACACCATACTGCCCACCACCCAAGTGAAGACTGTCCTCCATAAACACCATACTTTCCACCGCCCAAGTGAAGGTTTTCCTCTACAAACACCATACTGCCCACCACCCAAGAGAAGGATGTCCTCCATAAACACCATACTGCCCACCACCCAAGTGAAGGATGTCCTCCATAAACACCATACTGTCCACCACCCAAGTGAAGGATGTCCTCCGTAAACACCATACTGCCCACCACCCAAGTGAAGGATGTCCTCCATAAACACCATACTGTCCACCACCCAAGTGAAGGATGTCCTCCATAAACACCATACTGTCCACCACCCAAGTGAAGGATGTCCTCCATAAACACCATACTGCCCACCACCCAAGTGAAGGATGTCCTCCATGAAGACCATACTACCCACCACCCAAGTGAAGGATGTCCTCCATAAACACCATACTGCCCACCACCCAAGTGAAGGATGTCCTCCATAAACACCATACTGTCCACCACCCAAGTGAAGGATGTCCTCCATAAACACCATACTGTCCACCACCCAAGTGAAGGATGTCCTCCATAAACACCATATTGCCCACCACCCAAGTGAAGGATGTCCTCCATAAACACCATACTGTCCACCACCCAAGTGAAGGATGTCCTCCATAAACACCATATTGCCCACCACCCAAGTGAAGGATGTCCTCCATAAACACCATACTGTCCACCACCCAAGTGAAGGATGTCCTCCATAAACACCATACTGCCCACCACCCAAGTGAAGGATGTCCTCCATAAACACCATATTGCCCACCACCCAAGTGAAGGATGTCCTCCATAAACACCATACTGTCCACCACCCAAGTGAAGGATGTCCTCCATAAACACCATACTGTCCACCACCCAAGTGAAGGATGTCCTCCATAAACACCATATTGCCCACCACCCAAGTGAAGGATGTCCTCCATAAACACCATACTGTCCACCACCCAAGTGAAGGATGTCCTCCATAAACACCATACTGTCCACCACCCCAGTGAAGGATGTTCTCCACAAATACCATACTGTCCACCACCCAAGTGAAGGATGTCCTCCATAAACACCATACTGTCCACCACCCCAGTGAAGGATGTTCTCCACAAATACCATACTGTCCACCACCCAAGTGGAGGATGTCCTCCATAAACACCATACTGCCCACCACCCAAGTGGAGGATGTCCTCCATAAACACCATACTGCCCACCACCCAAGTGGAGGATGTCCTCCATAAACACCATACTGCCCACCACCCAAGTGAAGGATGTCCTCCATAAACACCATACTGCCCACCACCCAAGTGAAGGATGTCCTCCATAAACACCATACTGTCCACCACCCAAGTGAAGGATGTCCTCCATAAACACCATACTGCCCACCACCCAAGTGAAGGATGTCCTCCATGAAGACCATACTGCCCACCACCCAAGTGAAGGATGTCCTCCATGAAGACCATACTGCCCACCACCCAAGTGAGGGATGTCCTCCACAAACTCCATACTTTAATTAAATATTCAATTGATCTTATATATAAATGCTATTAAATATTCAATTTAATTATATTCAATTCAATTTAATTTTCAAATCATTTTATATTTAATAAATTTAATTTAATATTCAATTGATTTTATATTAAAATTATATTTAATATTACATGCAATTACATTTAATTTAATTTAACATTTAATTTATTTTATATTTCAATTATATTTCATATTCAATTAAATTATATTTAATTAAATTAATTTAATTTAATATTAAATTGATCGACATATAAATGCTATTTAATATTTAATTTAATTATATTCAATTTAATTTACTTTTCAAATTATTTTATATTGAATAAATTTAATTTAATATGCAATTGACTTTATATTTAAATTATATTTAATATTACAATTATATGTAATTATATTTAATTTAAAGTAATTTAATATTTAATTTATTTTATATTTAAACTATATTTCATATTCAATTAAATTATATTAAATTAAATTAATTTAATATTCAATTGATCGTATATATAAATGCTATTTAATATTCAGTTTAATTATATTCAATTTAATTTAATTTTCAAATTATTTTATATTTAATTAATTTAATTTAATTTAATATATTTAATAAATTTAGAATTATTAAATTGGATATGAAATATAATTTAAATATAAAATCAATTGTATATTAATTTAATTTAATTTAATTAATTTAATTTAATATGCAATTGATTTTATATTTAAATTATATTTCATATCCAATTTAATAATTCTAAATTTAATTTAATATTCAAGGGATCTTATATTTAAATCATTTAATTGGTTTTATATTTAAATTATATTCAATATTCAACCGAATTATATTTAATATGATTTAATATTCATTTATTGTATATTTAAATTATATATATTTAATGTAATTATATTCAATTTAATATTATAAATATAATGTAATATATTCAATTTAATATTCAATGGATTTTATATTTAAATTATATTTCATTTTCAATTTAATAATTCTAAATTTAATTTTAATATTCAAGGGATTTTATATTTAAATTATATTCAATATTCAATGGAATTATATTTAATATGATTTAATATTCATTTATTTTATATTTAAAATATATTTAATATTTAATGTGACTATAGGTTAAGGTAAAGGTTTCTAAGCTGAAGAGCCGGCATTGTCCGTAGACACCTCTAAGGTCATGTGGCCGGTATGACTGCATGGAGGGCCGTTACCTTCCCGTTTTCAAACTGCTAGGTTGGCAGAAGCTGGGGCTGACAGCAGGAGCTCACCCCCATATCTTAAATTCAAACCACCAACCTTTAGGTCAACAATCTCAGCAGCTCAGCTCCCTATATTATTATTGAATATA